ATAGATATAAATATTTACTATACTATAAATAGTTACATAACGAAACTAGATTCAATTTGGAACATCCTTAGGTTTTATGTGCCAGCATGGATATGGTTGTCTGTGGATATGGATTTGGATATGGTTGTATGCAATGCAGATAAACAGCTGCATCTTCATTTGCGTCTTTTGAAAACAGCAAGAGCAGCAGTTCGTCTTTGCTGTGTCACTGTTTTGTCATGTTTCTGTGCTGCTGTGCATGCAAAAGTACTTAGTATGAGAATTATTTCATGCAAAACTTTTTTTTTTGCGTTTTATTTAGCCGCGCATAAATGTATGCCTATCTCTCATTCCGTGTTGTTCAAAAAGCTCAGTGTTGGTCCACAAACAAAAGTGAAACCTATGCTTATTGGTTGTGATATAGCGAGTTTGAACCAATCTGGGCATGGAGGAGGGACAATGCATCAATGTATCATGTCTGGTTTGTCCGGAGACACAGTGACGAGCGTTTCTTTATCAAATCAGCGTTGTTAAATTTTGATGACGTAACCGCACTGATTCCGGAGCCTCTGAAAGTCCGTTATGTTATGTGATACAGCACTGGAAAGCTGAGACTCTCTTCTTTATGCCAATCTTTGAATTGTATGAATCGGATCAGCGGATCAAAAGTTATTAAACATTTAAGAGCAATACTTATTTTTAGCCGTGGGCGGCTGTCTCGGTCTTTAAGGGTTAAAACCGTTGATATGCAATTGTTCATGGTATGATAATCGTGCACGTTCAAATCGTGGTAAACCGTCATACCGGTATATTGTTACAACCCTAGTTCCTACTATAAATGTCAACGGCTGCTTTTCCCCCCAACGTTCTTTAGAAAATCTTGTTTTGTGTTCAACAGAAGAAAGAAATTCTTAAACGTTTAAAACCACATGATGAGTGTGGGTAAACGATCCTTTTAAGAATGGTTTACTGAAAAGTCTAGTAAAAAAAACATCCTTCAGTTTTTTTGGTCAGCATTTTTCAGCATCAATGACTGTCTAGCATGCAAACTACAATGCTCAAATATGCCGTCTAGTTAGTTAACATGCTTTTAATAGCACTTCAGACTGGCCAAAAAGGTTTAGTACATACTAGAGTTTCAGACAGTGAACCACAAAAATCCTGTGCATGTAGGCAGCTTACCAGATATTCATTGTAGAAACCTAAAATGCAGTCTATTTGCGCAGCTATTTAGGTTTCAAGACTGCCATGCTCAAAAATGGCTTCTAACATTAGCCCTCGGTAGCAGACGCACAGCAAGTTGCCATCATTTTCAGACATCACAACCTAGTGAGCAATGCAGTGCTCAAACATGATGACTAGGTAGGATCCTTCATATGAGCCCCAGATTTTTTTATGCCATCATCAGGTTTATTTATTTACTAAAGTAATTATATATTTATTCAGTTTTTATATTCATTCCAGTAATGTTATAAGTTTATATCATTTAATTGCAATATAGTGGGTAAAGTATTTTTAGTCTATCTTTTAGTAGACATATTACATAAGACTAAGACTTGCTTTGTTTACCAAACGAGTGGATCTAATTGTATTTGCATTGTAGACCTTAAATAAAAGTTCATTTATTCATTGTCTTTTCAGCTTAGTCCCTTTTATAATCAGGGGTCACCACAGCGGAATGAACCGCCAACTTAATGCCCTTCCAAACACAACCCAATGCTGGGAAACACCCATACACTCTTGCATTCACACCCACACATACACTACAGCCAATTTAGCTTATTCAGTTCACATACAACGCATGCTGTATGGGTAAAATAGCGCATAGGTACAATAAAAATCTCAAAATCATTACAAACTTTTGCGCAGAAATAGCAACTAAATTAACAAATGTCCGGAGAGTCTATAAGGCCCTGGTTATGGGTAGGAGATTCAACAGATTCTCACAAAGAGGAACATTTGTAGGCAGCATGGTGTCATCCTGCCTAGGTAGGACACTTGTTGCAAGATCTAGAGACTGTAAGGGCCTAAAAGGCTACAGGTAAAAAGCTCAATAGATTCTCACAGACAATCGGTGTAGGCAGTCTTCACTATATAGGACACTTGTTACTGGCTCTAAAGACTGCAATGATCAAAAAACATTTTAAGGAGGGCCTAAAGAGCATCCCTAGAGTGTGTATGTGAAGCTTCAGTTTAAAACATCACACAAATAATGTTTTATAACTCTCTAAAACGGACCCTTTTAGGCTTTGATACAAATTGTGCCATTTTGGCGACTTAAAATTCGAGCTGCAAACGCCAGTGTGTCAGCATAGTGGCAGATTCCATAACAAGACTAATGTTACTTCTGTGAGACAAAGGGTCTCAGAAGAAGTCTATTGCTGTGTTCACACCAGACGCGGTACGTGTGGATAAATCCCACATTTCACACATAAATAGACATTTAAACATTTTGAGCTTCATTCACATCAAATCCGCTTCATTTGCATGTTAAATTCACTTCATTAAAGACGCGGATTCATGTCATGGGCGAGGCTTCTGTCTGCCTGGTCACTCTAGCTTTGTTGCTAAATGGCTAGCATGGATTTTATTGAGAAAGTAGCTTTGTTTATGTGCTTTGGGAAGGCTGAAAAACAGTGTAGATTCGTTCGGCGCCATGTTTGAATCCACTAGATCCTTTTAGAGGGGCACTAGCTCTGTGAATTCATCAACTCCTCTAGAAACTGTACCTGGATGATGATGGAGGCTTTCAGCGGAAGCTTCCGACTGAGCCAAACCCAATTTGATGAGCTGTTGTCTAGTGTCGGCAGAAAGATTTCCCCTCGGTACACCAACAACAGGCGCTACGTCATAATCACACAAGAGCAAGCTCCTGATTGGTTAACATAGCAAGGATGTCCGATAAAATACAGATCTCCCAACTTGAGCGATTCGTGCAAAACGCTCAACTCTCGCCGCTTCATTCTCGTGAAGCGGGTCATTTTCGCCACCTCATTCGCGTATATTACACCGTAGGATGTCTATTTGCGTCTTTGCATTGAATTAACATGTAAATCACTTGCGCTTGATGCTTCTTCTGCTGTGAACACAGCATAAGCACACTCCACATTTATAATCCTCTTAGTCATAGGCATTATCTTCGGTATGGTAACTACGGTACAGATCAGTACCCTTTTAGTCAAAGGGTACCTAAAAGCAAACCGTACCACTAGTGTACCTAGCACAAAAAAATAGGGTATTAAAAGGCGGAGCTAGACGTGGAGTTGAACACTATTGGTTTACAGAGATACGTCACTCGAAGAAGCGGGAGAATGAAAACAAAGGAAACGCCATTTTTAAAAACACAGCCGAAACATTACAAAGTAATATTATATACATATAATAACAATCAATGGTAGACCTGAGCTCAAATAAACCTTGTTGAAGTCTTGATGAACAACCACAAAGCCAAGAAGGACAAAACCTGCTGTGTCCTGTTGTTGTTTTACGAGCCCGTCTAAAAGTGCGAGCGGTTTCAATTTTTCCAGAGAGCTCACCACGCGTCTTTATTTAAAATAACAACTTTTGAGCTCATATTAATAACGTGTGTGATCATTGAAGTGCTCTGATATCCGATCCTTTCAGAAGCAAACAAACGCGAGAGTGAAGCTCGAAAAAACAAAGGAGTACCCGGAAAAAAAGCAGCAATTGATGCTTCTGGAACCTAAACCATGAACAAAGTGCCATGTGTTATAGATAAAGTTCTATTCTCATCACCTTTTTGGCTATTATGAACTCGGAATGACGGAAATACTTGCTAACAATAGGCTACACGTACTGCTGAAGATTAAAGACACATATGAGAGGCACTGACTAAATGTCTGCTGTGTGTAGCTTTTCCGTTATTGGTATCATATCGGAGACTATAAGGGTCTACATGTTCATATATGTTGCATTTATTTAATTATTTTATATAATCGCAGACGTTACAGTAGGCTATTTTACACTGTTATTGATCTGCAGTTATAATCAAATCATGTTGATAGAAAAGTTAGTAGGCTAATGAACATTTATACAGAAGTATTTATGTGTATAAAGCATCTGTTTTGTGAGAAGTGCTTCTCATATTTTATGTAAACAAACGTACGGCATTACTATGACATTTCCTTGAGTAAAAATGACGTCGACTGAAACTTTGTCGTACACCACGCCCACCAAAACCATTGATACCCTTTTGGCAGTGGAAACTCAAGCTTAATAACGGTGACCTGGACCGCACTGTACCTCTCAAAGGCCACAATCGCTGATGGCTGCTTCTCACTCAGGGCTTTCTATGCTAATGAGGCACAGATCGTCACTAGTGGGCGGGGCTTTCCCCCTCTGATGACACGTACAAAAGGGAGAATGTCATCACAGTGTTTCTGCAGACTGTTTTTATCAAGTCCGATTATAAAACAAAATTAAATTAACACATTTTTATTATTATAGGCTGGCTTTATATTTACACACTGCTATATCCCAACAACTGTGTTTAAACCCGTTATAAAAGCATAATAGTTCCCCTTTAAGTATGCGGTTAAAATAAACAGGATGCTCAATAAATTCTGACACATGGAGACCTTGTTTATATAAAAAAAGCAGTGTATATAGATAAATAGACATTGCATTAATACATGAAAAGGCGTTGAGACGATGATAACCAAAAATAAATGTTGCCTACGTAGGCAGCTCTCCAAGTTTTGATTCCCAGTCATAGAGTTGCTAGTCATTTAAAACCCGACGCCGGTCAAAACAAACAGCTTTAAATGGTCGCCAGCACAACAATTGAACACAACAACTGAAATACGCCTTATTTAACCATAACTTTGTTACACAGTACAATAAAAGTGTCAGATTAACAGCACACTCGGCGTCGTTACTACAGCTGTAATAGTCCAACTAATGAGACTGAGTGACTGACGGCTGTGGGTTAGCTTAGCATGCTATTCTAAACCCTCAGATCAAACGGCGGAACAGATTCACCCGCATAAAACATCACCCACCTCGGCCTCTCCCTCCTCAAGACTCCGCAGGCTCCATACCACCAGCCCCTGGACCAGCAAGATCGTTAAACCGGCCGCGATCACGAGTTTATACCGTCTGAGGAGCTTCTGTACACGGGTGCTCGCGACCATCTTTCCCCCGTGAATCATTCGCATATACCAGCGAGTCAGGCTAGCCGCGAGTGACACTTGGTGGGAGTCGACTCCTCAGTTCGGACTGACATCCGAACAACGCCCTTTGAGATAGCTTTGCCGTGTGTTGTTCACACCAAATGACTCTGATTCAACTGAATCGTGGAGAGCTGTTCAGAAAGGAACTGAACGCTTGCGTGAAAATATTGTAATACTAATTGGAGGACATTATATTTAAATTCACGACGATTGTGATTGTTGTCATTGTAGTAAGTTTTAAGAATGATTTTAATATAATTTTTATAAAATCTACAGATTCAATTTGATTTACATCATAAATCATCACATGATGCTTGTATCAGCAGAAAACAGTTCAAAACTCCTATCTAAAATTAACATACACGTCTAAAAATTGCATATTTGTGTTATTTTGATGAAATGCCCTTTGTGCTAAATGAAAACATTTGAATTAACGTCATCAGTAATTTACAGAACAAAAAAATATATGTTATCACACATCTATATTCATATTGATTTTAAGACAGCACAACACCAAATGTTATATATATATATATATATATATATATATATATATATATATATATATATATATATATATATATATATATATATATATATATATATATATGCAGTTGAAGTTAATTATTAGCCCCCCTTTAAATTTTTTTTCTTTTTTAAATATTTCCGAAATGATGTTAAACAGAGCAAGCAAATTTTCACGATAGGTCTGATAATATTTTTTCTTCTGGAGAAAGTCTTATTTGTTTTATTTTGGACAGAATAAAAGCAGTTTTTAATTTTTTAAACACCATTTTAGGGACAAAATTATTAGTCCCTTGAAGCTATTCTTTTTTCGACTGTCTACAGAACAAACCATCATTATACAATAACTTGCCTATTTACCCTAACCTGCCTGGTTACCCTAATTAACCTAGTTAAGCCTTTAAATGTCACTTTAAGCTGTATAAAAGTGTCTATCTAGTCTAATATTATTCACTGTCATCATGGCGAAGATCAAATAAATCAGTTATTAGAGATGAGTTATTAAAACTATTATGTTTAGAAATGTGTTCAGAAAATCTTCTCTCCGTTAATCAGATATTGGGGTAAAAATTAACAAGGGGGCTAATAATTCAGGGGTGGGGGGGCTAATAATTCTGACTTCAACTGTATGTATGTATTTATATATGAAGGGTATCCGCTGGGTAAAACATGCTATAAGTTGGCAGTTCATTCCACTGTGGCAATCCCAGAATAATAAACGGACTAATCTGAAAAAATAAATGAATTAATAAACGATATTATATTTTATTATATTATATTATATTATATTATATTATATTATATTATATTATATTATATTATATTATATTATATATAATTTTCTTTCATACTTTCATAAATCATATGTATTGTGCATTAAACAGCTGGTTTGCAAACTACATGATTTATGAATATGAATAAAATCTGTTTTGCTCATTAATTCTTCATATATAGTATTAAAAAATCAACAAATGTATGAATAATAACTGCCTACAGTGTATCGCATTCCGCCACTGGGCGGCGCTCTTTATATGTGAAAGTCCTGCTGATCTCCAAGACAACCGTGAAATGTTTGAGGAATGTTTCTTTCTCCCTTTTTTGGAAACACAACATCTGATGAATACAACGAAATGATGCCAAAGTTTACAAATTGTGTAATAAATGTGGAAGACGCAACACAATGGTCTCACACTGGGTCCAGAAGAAGAATATATGTAACTTGTGTGTGTATGAGTACATATAAATAAATAAATAAATAAATAAATAAATAAATAAATAAATAAATAAATAAATAAATAAATAAATAAATAAATAAATAAATGTGTGAGGAATGTTCTAGTTTGTGTTAACGTTAAAACAAACATGTTCTATACAACTACTTTTATTTATATTATTATTATTATTATTATTATTATTATTATTATTATTATATAAGAACCAAACACATCCAATACTTATTTTTATTTAACATTCTCCTACATTTACAGTTACTTCACATTTATTTTTATCCAAACAAGCGACTGGGGATTTTTACAGGCGAGTATAAACCCACCAAATCATCAGCGTAGCGGTAAATAAATGCTATGTAACTCTAAGTTACTTTAAATCTATAAATCTTTTAACTCTGACGCCGAAATGAACGAATCCTACTAAGAGGAAGGCAGACCTCATGAATATTAATCAGCTCGCGCAACCGTCGCCTAGCAACCGTCCACTCACGACGCTTATTGTTATTTATAAGCCGACAACTCCTCGCCATAGTAGGTTTTCCCCAGTCTATTCACGGATGCCAACAAAGTGTCCCGGTGCTTCGTGAGGGTTGACCAAAGAGGATGTGAGTCGTGACAGACGTTCAGCTGCAGGTCTGGGACTCTCATCAGTTGTGAAATGAAGCTACACGACTTCTCTGAGGACTTTTCCTGAGGCATTTTGAGGAGAGAAAGGGGAGAAAAGTGTTTATTTTTGGGGAGATGTCCAGCACTGTGGCACCGACCGTCCCCTCCATGAGCTTCCCGGAGGACCAGCGCACTATCGTGGTGGGAGCCTGTGAGTAAAACAAAATCAGATGTTTATGGAAATAAATACCGCGTTTAAAGGGACAGTTCACCCACAATATAATTAACCGTTTAACAATTTCAATATAGAAAAAATAATAATAATAAAAAAAACATTATAAATCAATATATGTTTATAAAAGCAAAAAACAAGGTCTAAAACTGTTATCTAAAAATGAAACTGTCGTCTAAAAAAACGACGCTACACGACTCTTCTGAGGACTTTGGTTACTCTGGAGAAAAGTGTGTATTTTTAAAACTGTTGAAATCAAATGTTTATGAAAATAAGCATTTAAAGGGGCAGTTCACCAACAATATATTTAACATTTTACTTAAGTTTTTAGAAAGATTTTAATATTTAAAAAATAAACGTTACCGATTTTACATCATCCCATATTTGTATCAGCAGAAAACAAGGTCTAAAACTGTAAAATTAAAACTGTCGTCTAAAAAGCATCTAAAAACGACGCCACGAACAATTTCAGCATAATTAAAAAAAATTAAACCTTCCGATTATAAATCATCATATATTTGTAACAGCAAAAAACAAGATCTTAAACTGTTATCTAAAATGAAACTGTCGTCTAAAAAAACGACGCTACACGACTCTTCTGAGGACTTTGGTTACTCTGAAGAAAAGTGTGTATTTTTAAAACTGTTGAAATCAAATGTTTATGAAAATAAGCATTTAAAGGGGCAGTTCCCCAACAATATCTTTAACATTTTACTCAAGTTTTTACAAAGATTTCAATATTTAAAAAAATAAACGTTACCGATTATACATCATCACATTTGTGTCAGCAGAAAACAAGGTCTAAAACTGTAAAATTAAAACCGTCGTCTAAAAAAACATCTAAAAAACGATGCTACTAACAATTTCAGCATAATTAAAAAAAATTAAACCTTCCTATTATAAATCATCATATATTTGTAACAGCAAAAAACAAGGTCTTAAACTGTTATCTAAAATGAAACTGTCGTCTAAAAAACTACGTTACACGACTCTTCTGAGGACTTTGGTCACTCTGGAGAAAAGTGTGTATTTTTGAAACAGTTGAAATCAGTTGTTTATAAAAATAAATACTGCATTTAAAGGGGCAGTTCACCCACAATATAATTAACATTTTAACATTTAAACGTTATCGATTATACATCATCACATATTTGTATCAGCAGAAAACAAGGTCTTAAACTGTCAAATTAAAACTGTCGTCTAAAAAATGTCTAACGTAAAAAAATGAAGGTACACGACTCTTCTGAGGACTTTAGTCGCTCTGGAGAAAAATATGCTTTATTGAAACTGTGGAAATCAGATGTTTATGAAAATAAATAGCATATTTAAAGGGACAGTTCCCTCACAATATAACAACCCGTTTAACGAATTCAATATTTAAAGAATAAACGTTACCAATTATAAACCATCACATATTTGTATCAGCAAAAAACAAGGTCTAAACTGTTGTCTAAAATTGAAACTATCGTCTAAAAAACGACACTACGAATGATTTTAATATAATAAAAAAAAATTTAACGCTTCCAATTTTAAATCATCACATATTTATATCAGCAAAAAGAATGGTCTAAAACTGTAAAATAAAAACTATCGTCTAAAAAACGTCTAACGTAAAAAAATGAAAGTACACGACTCTTCTGAGGACTTTAGTCGCTCTGGAGAAAAATATGCTTTATTGAAACTGTGGAAATCAGATGTTTATGAAAATAAATACAGTATTTAAAGGGACAGTTCCCTCACAATATAATAAACCGTTTAACGAATTCAATATTTAAAGAATAAACGTTACCGATTATAAACCATCACATATTTGTATCAGCAAAAAACAAGGTCTAAACTGTTGTCTAAAATTGAAACTATCGTCTAAAAAATGACACTACGAACGATTTTAATATAATAAAAAAAATTTAACGCTATCAATTTTAAATCATCACATATTTATATCAGCAAAAAGCACGGTCTAAAACTGTAAAATAAAAACTGTTGTCTAAAAAACAATGCTATGAACGATTTTAATATAAATGTAAAAAAAAAAAGTTCACTCACAATATAATAAACCGTTTAACGAATTCAATATTTAAAGAATAAACGTTACCGATTATAAACCATCACATATTTTTATCAGCAAAAAACAAGGTCTAAACTGTTGTCTAAAATTGAAACTATCGTCTAAAAAAACGACACTACGAACGATTTTAATATAATAAAAAAAAAATGTAACGCTACCATTTTTAAATCATCACATATTTATATCAGCAAAAAGCACGGTCTAAAACTGTAAAATAAAAACTGTTGTCTAAAAAACGATGCTATGAACGATTTTAATATAAATGTAAAAAAAAAAAGTTCACTCACAATATGATTAACCGTTTAACGATTTCAATATTTAAAAAATAAATGTTACCGATTTTAAATCATTACATATTTGTATCAGCAGTGGGTAGCATATTCGCCTCACAGCAAGAAGGTCTCTGGTTTAAGCCTCGGCTGGGTCAGTTGGCATTTCTGTGTGGAGGTTGCAAAACATATGCTGGATAAGTTGGCGGTTCATTCCGCTGTGGCGAACCCTGATGAATAAAGGGACTAAGCTGAAGGAAAATGAATGAATATATTTATATAACAAATAAATATGATTCCTCTGCTTCTCTGAGTTGGTTGACCCAGATCTTGAATTAATGTACAGTGAGGCGAGTACATTATAAGTAACTTTTTTTTCTGCTGAAGACGTAATTTAATTACAGTAGCTAGTTACTTTGTAACTAATAACACCCAATCCTGTTTAATTCATACTATCATGGAGCACATGGAATCGTACTTAACATTTGGACCTAATTTAATTGATTTGCCCTATATAGGCCTATGAGTCCAAGACCAGATGTCCACATCAAATTTAAAAAAAGTGATTTCATATGCATGGAAAGCACATTAAATGCATGTAAAATAAATGTATGAGCAATTACATACAAATGTCAACCTTGCCATGAAAAAAATGCAGTTTCTGCCAAAATATCGAAACTGTTTTCGGCGTTTTTTGCGTAAGCAAGTATTTTACAGTGCTTAAAAATAAAATGTTATTATTTTCAAACTATTAAATTTGATTTACCAAAATGACACACGTGCCAATTTCACATTCGTCACATCCATAACGAAGATTTTACCTCATAAATGCAAAAAATGTCAAATATATAAAATCAGTTGTTTTTGTTTGATAGTGAGCCGACTCTTATCTTTTTGATGAGCATTGCTTCTTTTGGATTCTGCAGTTTAATTCGCAGAGTTACTACAAAGTATGTTGTATACTGTAAACTTGCAGACTTTTTTGCAGTCATATCCATAGCACATGCTCATTTCCCTCATTTAATAAATGTTTACAGATTGATATATTTCTGCTCCCATGGTTGGTTGTTTTCAAAAATATAAACAGATGTTATAATATTACCATTTACTTTCTCTGTAAAAATATATTTAGAATTTTACTGCAAATGTCACATTCATAACGCTGGAATTTCTCGTATGTAAAACGTCTTTATTGTTAAAATATTAATGAGATTCATTCATTATCCCTTATTTATCAGGGGTCCCCACAGTGGAATAAACCACCAACTATTCCAGCATATGTTTTACGCAGCAGATGCCCTTCCGGCTGCAACCCAGTACTGGGAAACACCCATACACTCTCACATTCACACACACACACTCAAAACACTATGGCCAATTTAGTTCATGAATTCCCCTATAGTGCATGTGTTTGGACTGTGGGGGGAAACCGGAGCACCCGGAGGAACCGGGAGAACATGCAAACTCCACACAGAAATGCCAACTGGCCCAGCCGGGATTCAAACTAGCGACCTTCTTGCTGTGATGCGACAGTTCTAACCCCATCTATGAGATTTTCAATCATTTCAATGCATGACTGGCAGATTTAAAAAAAAATAATAAGTTCAAGTGTTTTGAGAACCAGTGGTGTTGTGTTTTTTCCAGTCTGTTGTCTGGTGTTTTTCTTCATGATCGTGGTGCTGCTGCTGATCCTCTACCGAAAGGTTCCTCTCTGCTGCAAAATGAGGGTTTATCGGGAATCTCGTACTGACATGGTAAGAAGTTTCAGGTGAATTTTCACATATTTTGCTTTCATTTTTTCCATGGAAAATGTATTTGCGCCTCATTTGTGCATCTATTGATATGCTGGGCTGTAAAGGAGGGACATTAGTGCATTGTTTGTTATTTAAAGAGCGCTAAAAGGTCCTAAATGTGCATACATGTTGCTTATTACACACACAGGGATGCACAGCAGCACTGAAATATTTTTAAATATAAATTATTTAATATTATTATTATTATTATTATTATTATTATTATTATTATTCCTATATATTTGTATATCTGCAAGTTACAAAAAACTACAAATATTTTGACATATAGGCTATAGAGTATTATACAATTATATTTATTATATTATATTTATAACATAATATAATATTTATTATCTGCAAGTTTAGCTTTTACAAAACCTTTTTAATATTTTGAATAATTGTACTAAAATGTGTATAATTTTATAATAATGTTATTTTTATAATAATATTATAATTCTATAATAATATATTGTATTATATGCAAGTTTAGTTAAATGAATATATTTTTGTTATTTTAAATATTTATTTAATAATGTTTTAATAATGTAATGTATTAATATTTTAATAATGTAATATACACTATATTTATTAAATTTGTTTATTTTTACAATGGTGAAGAAAAGTTTAGATTTTATTTACTTTATAATATGCAAGTTTAGTTATTACAAAACACTTTTAGGCACACTAAATTTCTAGAAAAAGAGTTACATCTGACTGTAACTTTACTAAAGCACATATTATATTTTATTATATTATATTATATTATATTATATTATATTATATTATATTATATTATATTATATTATATTATATTATATTATATTATGTTACATTATGTTACATTATGTTACATTATATCATATTTAATTATATTATATTAAATTATAATATATTATATTATATTATATTATATTATATTATATTATATTATATTATATTATATTATATCATTATATTATATTATATTATATTATATCATATTTAATTATATTATATTATATTATGTTACATTATGTTACATTATGTTACATTATATCATATTTAATTATATTATATTATATTATATTAAATTATATTATATTATATTATATTATATTATATTATATGTAATTATATTATATTATATTATATTATATCATATTATATTATATTATATTATATTATATTATATTATATTATATTATATGTAATTATATTATATTATATTATATGTAATTATATTATATTATATTATATGTAATTATATTATTGTTAATTATATTATATTATATTATTGTTAATTATATTATATTTATTTTATTTTATTAATATTTTTACTTTCTGCATTTTCACATGAGTGGAGAAAAAGGTTCAAGTATAGTTAAAGAGTTACCCATCTGACCTAGTTTGATAACCCTGCGAATGAAGAGCGTCCCTGGATGTTTTTATTTCTGCACGTTTGGTACACTGACACACAAACAGAGATTACTCATTATCTTCCTCCTTAACTGCGCTCAGTCTCAGAGAGCTTCATTGTGTACTTTACCGAACGCTCTGACTCGACTTGTACATTGTGAACGTCAGCTGCAATGATGAGCAAAATAAACCAAGAACAGTAACATAAGCAAAAAAACATAACATTCTGTCAGCTTTAAGAAGAGAAAAGTTGATGTGAGTCAGATGTTTGAAGCATCTAAACATGCTGTATAAGAGGATCAAACTGTGACACTCACACAAAAGTTACGCAGTAATCGGTGAGTAAACTGAGTGAAACTTAACCCGGTGTACTTTTAAAAGAGTGTTTATTATGGAAAAATATACACTACCTGACACAACTCTTGTCCACTATCCAAGTTTCAGGAGGAACAAATAATATCTTGACTTCTAGTTGATTATTTGGTATCAGAAGTGGCTTATATCAAAGGCAAAGACCTCTAGATTACACTTATTTGATCACAATAAAATATGATCATGCCTTGATTCTTAATGCTTTAATTAAGACAGTAAGGTCTGACTTTGCTGAGACAAAAGTGTCCTTAACTACTATGTACTTAAATCAAAAAATAAATACAATGTACTTCCTGCGTTCATAATGTATTTGAGAATACTTGTGGTGCTTTTGAGTTGGGAGGGAGGTTGGGTTATAGACAGGTTTGGTGGCATGGGTAGGTTTAAGGGTGGGTTAAGGTGTAAGGGATGGTCAACAGTGTATTTACAAATGTAATTACAAAAGTTAATTACAGATGTAATTACATACATGTATTTAATCAAGCATAAGTACACAATAAATACATGTATTTACACAATAAGTACATTGTAACAAACTATTAATTCCTGTGTAAGTACATATTAAGGCCACTTAATATAAAGTGGGACCAAAAGTCTTGTATTCAATGTTATGTGTTCAGACAATAAAATGACGTTTAAATAAATTAACTGACTGACTAAATGAACAATAAATGAATATGAATATATTATATTATATTATATTATATTATATTATATTATATTATATTATATTATATTATATTATATTATATTATATTATATTATATTATATTTAATTATATTATATTATATTATATTATATTATATTTTATAATATTATATTATATTATATTATATTATATTATATTATATTATATTATATTATATTATATTATATTTAATTATATTATATTATATTATATTATATTATATTATATTTAATTATATTATATTATATTATATTATATTATATTATATTATAATATATTGTATTATATTTAATTATATTAAATTATATTATATTGTATTATATTATATTATATTATATAACATTTTATTTTATATTATATTACATTTTATTTAATTATATTACATTATATTATATAATATTATATTGTATTATATTTAATTATATTATATTTAATTATATTTGATTATATTATATTTAATTATATTATATTTAATTATATTTAATTATATTATATTATATTATATTATTTTATATTATATTATATTATATTATATTGTATTATATTATATTATATTATATTATATTATATTATATTATATTATATTATATTATATGATATTATATTATATTATATTATATTAATAAATGAACAATTATTGTAGTTTAAATTAATATTAAAGGCATTTAACTGATGTTTAAAGCGCTTTTCTTACTACTTTGTCATCTGAAACGTACAAAAAAACGCACTCTGAGTAACGTATTTCAGATTCGCACAAATGTAAACATCGCCCTCTAGTAGATTTGTCATCTGAAACGTACAAAAAACCCACCCTAAGTAATGTATTTCAGATTCACACAAATGTAAACAGCGCCCTCTAGTGGATTTGTCATCTGAAACGTACAACAAAACGCACCCTGAGTAACGTATTTCAGATTCGCACAAATGTTGACTACACCCTCTAGTGGATTTGTCATCTGAAACGTACAAAAAAACGCACCCTGAGTAACGTATTTCAGACTTGCACAAATGTAGACATCGCCCTCTAGTGGATTTGTAATCTGAAACGTACAACAAAATGCACCCTAAGTAACGTATTTCAGATTCGCACAAATGTAGACAGCGCCCTCTAGTAGATTTGTCATCTGAAACGTACAAAAAACCCACCCTAAGTAATGTATTTTAGATTCACACAAATGTCGACAACACCCTCTAGTAGATTTGTCATCTGAAACGTGCAACAAAACGTACCCGGAGCAATGTATTGCAGGTTTCACAAAAAATGGCACGCATTTACAATGAGCCTGGGTTCAGTCGGTGGGTTCAAAGTTTATCTTGTGATAAAGCAAAGCTCTCACACTTAGCCTAGAGTCAAACCTCAGCATCGTTTCCTTTTCCTGTTCACTTTCCACCCGGAGAGATCTTTAACCTTATCTGAGAAACACAGGGAAGCTGCCTCCACATGTGTACTCCCACCAAGAGGAAATGCAAAAACACATCTGCTGAAGATAGACACGGAGTGCAGGCTAAATGAGAGGTCTGCGATACAATGACCGTTGCAGTCACGTTTTATTTCTATAGCGCTTAATACAGTGTGGATTGTGTCAAAGTGGCATATGAATCTGTCTTGTGTTTTGTTTAACAGGTTAGCTGACAATATTCAGCCCATTCACCTATCAGACATGTTTCTGAGCACGTTACAATTTCTCCAGATTTACTTTTACTACTTAACTTCACCCCCAAAAAAAATCTAAATGTCCTGCTTTATCACTTTACATTTAAACAGTTTCACGACTGCACCGTGTTTTCTGTTTATTTGCAGGTGTGAATTGCATTATGGGATGTTGATGTCTGCTCTGTCCACTTTTGATGTTAAATAATCAACTCTACATTTTAACAAAGTGACTTTGAGTGACATTTTAGTACTTTGAATTAATATAAGAAATAATATCTAGATAGGATCAATCTGTGACACACACACAAAAGTTACGCAGGCATCAGTGAGTAAACTGAGTGAAACTTAACCCGGTGTACTTTTAAAAGAGTGTTTATTATGGAAAAATATACACTACCTGACACAACTCTTGTCCAATATCCAAGTTTCAGGAGGAACAAATAATATCTTGACTTCTAGTTGATTATTTGGTATCAGAAGTGGTTTATATGAAAGGCAAAGACCTCTAGATTACACTTATTTGATCACAATAAAATATGATCATGCCTTGATTCTTAATGTTTTAATTAGGACAGTAAGGTCTGACTTTGCTGAGACAAAAGTCTTGTATTCAATGTTATGTGTTCAGACAATAAAATGACGTTTAAATAAATTAACTGACTGACTAAATTAACAATAAATGAACATTATATTATATAATATTATATTATATTATATTATATTATAATATATTATATAATATTATATTATATTATATTATATTATATTATATTATATTATATTATATTATATTATATTATATTATTTTATTTTATATTATATTGGATTATATTTAATTATATTTAATTATA